TGTAGCTGTGCAGCCTTTCCTTCCTGTCCTCCTCCTGCCTTCACGCCGCTGTAGGGCTGTTGTGGGCACAGAGCCCTGGCTGGAGCCCGTGGTGGAGCAGGCCTGGGCTGAAGCAGTGAAGAAGGGAAGCTCGCCTGCTCCCCTGCCCACAGCAGATGATCGCTTCTGCAGCCCGGCTCTCCCTGTCCACAGCCTGCTCCCTCTCCTCTGAGCTGATCCGCCTCCCTCCTGTGCCTGGCACTCTGTTTCTAAGCTGACAGCAAAGTCACCTCATAAACCAATCAGCTCAGGGCAGGTGGGCAGACACTGGCTGCCGGGCCCCTCCAGGTGACCACCCCTGCCTGGTAGGCTGACTCAGGTCACAGACTCCGGCACGGCAGGAAGGTGTGCTGGCTGATGAGTCAGGTGCGTGGGGCCCTTGGCTGCCCCTGATCTCTCTGGGGAAGTGGTCCTGTGCCCTTCAGGCTGGCCTCCCATTACAGATGAGTTTACTAGGCCCAGATAGGGTAGGCGACCTGGCCCCAGGTCAGCTAGAGTGGGCCTTTTGACACCTCGCGCCTGCCTCCTTGACTTCTATCACTATCCCACTGCTTTCCTGAAATCCTTCTGGGGACCACCCCCCACCACCACCACCCATACCACGTATGGCACCCTGGTTCCAGCTCTGGCTGGCCAGGGAGCAGCCTGCCTACCACTCCAGCTCCCCTTAAAAACATAACTCTGCCGAAACCGGTTTGGCTCAGTGGATAGAGCGTCAGCCTGCGGACTGAAGGGTCCCAGGTTCGATTCCGGTCAAGGGCATGTACCTGGGTTGTGGGCACATCCCCAGTAGGAGATGTGCAGGAGGCAGCTGATCGATGTTTCTCTCTCATCGATGTTTCTGACTCTCTATCTCTCTCCCTTCCTCTCTGTAAAAAATCAATAAAATATAGTTTTTTAAAAACACATAACTCTGAGAAGCCATAGGACAGGGCACGCTGCTCCAGCTGGTGGGACGTCGGGACCCCAGAGCTCACAAATCAGGACATGCATGGAGCCTGAGGGCCCTTGGGGATGTAAAATGGAAGCTGCCGGGCATCGCTGGGGCACTTAGGATCAAGCGGGGGAGCTTAGGTAAAAGAGGATGCATGTGCCACACGGACTTCAGGTACCACACAGAAAGCAAGGGAGAGGCGTTCACTGAGATGGTGGAGACTCCGCTTCCCTCAGGTGGACAGACAGTTGTGGTTAACAAAGAAGTCTTCCTGGTGAGAAAGCCATTTGAGTTCAGTTCTCAAGGACAGGAAGTAGTTGAATGGCGGGAAGGGGATGGATTCAGGGGAGAGGGGACTCCAGGTAGGTCTCTGTGGCTGGGACATGGGGGCAGGGACACAGGTTGGCAGGACGTTGGTTACCTCTGTCACATGGCCTGAGGGACGGTATTTTACCGAAAGTCATCACCGCCTTCACTGAAGATCTCTCCCATGCTTTTTTGAAAGAGCATCTTAAATTTGATGGCGGAGCTTCAATGAGTTGGTTCCACACTCTGTAAGGACAGTACTCAGCATCTGGTGGGGGTGAGATTGCTTAAAAAAAAAAAAGATTTCTGGACCATACCTCACTCAGACTGAGGGAATCAGAAAATCTGAGGGTAGGGTCTAAGGAACTGCAATTTTCCAGCAGCCTTTTCAGCCAATTCGTAAGCCCATCGAAGTTTGAGGAGTTCTTGCCAGTGGTGTTGAGACCTATGTGGGTCTCAATCAGTAGTTTTAAAAATACTGCTTTGGAGGGATTCCATGAAAATGATAATTCTTAGGAAGTATGTATTAAAATCTGTAGATACTTCCTTGTGCTAGTAATTTAGTGAAGCTACTCTGTTAACTTCATATGCCTAGGAGTCCTGGGGAATGGAAAGAGAAAGAGTTAAGTTTTTTTAAAAATTATTTTTATTAATTTCAGAGAGGAAGGGAGAGGAATAGAGAGATAGAAACATCAACGATGAGAGAGTCATTGATCGGCTGCCTCCTGCACGCCTCCCACTTGGGATTGAGACTGCAACCGGGGCATGTGCCCTGACCGGAAATCGAACCATGACCAGGTTCATAGGTCGACGCTCAACCACTGAGCAACACCGGCTGGGCAAGAGTTATGTTTTTAAGGGGAGCTGGAGTGGTAGGCAGGCTGCTCCCTGGCCAGCCAGAGCTGGAACCAGGGTGCCATACGTGGTGTGTGTTGGGGTTGGGGGGTCCCCAGGAGGATTTCAGGATAGCAGTGGGATAGTGATAGAAGTCAGGGAGGTGGGGGCAAGCTGGAGGGAGGCCAATGGGGGGGAGAAGGGGGCATATGTAATACTTTCAACAATAAAGATTAAAAGAAAAAAAGTCAAAGACCCTGGCCCTGGGTGGTGGCATAATTGTAGATAATGCTTGTTAAGTAGCTGATAAGATGATGGGGATTTTAAAGTTGGAGAACTGTAACCTGTGGTTGCTCTGTGGATCACCTTCAAGCCAATGACAGGACGAGAAGTAGGGTTGCTTAGCACTGGTGGACAGAGCCCTATGCAGTCAGCTGCCAGGACCTGTGGCGGTACAGAGAAAGCCTGTTGTGAGGCGAGCACAGTGGAGTCACAGTGGGTTAGCTGGGACCTGTTGAGAGTTGCAAAGGAAGAGGTGGGTCTGGTCTTTATAACAGCATTTGAACATTAATCCTGTGGCCCTCTGGTGGCGGCTT